TGCTGATGGATGCTGAATCAGAGAGCAGATAAACACTTAAAAGTTGAATGTGCCGATAAATTTACTTCAAATCAAATCTCGAATGGTGTCTATAGATTCAAGGATTTATCTAACTTGATGTTTACTCACATCAGGATTGGATATTTCACCGACTATTTGGAAAATTTAGTGATTTTGGTGGATCGGGACGGCAACGCTTAATTCCGATATGCTTTAGGCTATCAAAATGAGGTGATCAATGAAATGAATGCAAATGAAAGTGCTTTGCATAGCAAACCTCAACAATGTAGTTGATCGGTTCGATTTCATAGGTATGATCACCAATTTCTATTTTTATGTTTTCCGTGTATCCGGTACAGTTTGATAAGAACATATCAAATGCTGCCATATACTGAAATTTGTGATTTGTTCAAATGATCAATTTTTTAAGATCAAACCAGATGGCTGATCATCCTGTTCTACCCCATAAACAAGCCAAAGCATGCTCAGCAAATCTATTAAGGAGGGCTGGCTAGCACCGGCGAAACTTTTATAAACCTCTCAAGAGCTCGGAATCGGAACAAAATCTTTTCGTTCGCAAATCAATCAGATCAATAAGATTAAAATCTTAGTCAGATCTTAATCTTAAGATCAATAAGATCTGAATCAATCAAATCAATAAGATCTTAGTCAGATCAATTCCTTCGCAAATCAATCAACGTTACCACAGCTCCTTGATCTAGCTAGCACCTTATCACTCAGAAATTTCTCTTTATCCATGATAGCAGACGATTCATTATCTTGCCTCTGCCGGATAAAAGTACTGGCTTTTGACAACCGGCTATATTGTAGCAAAATAAATACTGCATAAGTCTCACATTCGCTCCAAGCTGGCTAGCTATTGATTTTATGACATTGGATGGTCCTCCGATGAAAGATGTCCCGGTATCAGAAATCACTTGATAGCTTGACGCATTACTACGATAACTGCCCAATGACATCGATTTCATAGTGAATTCCCACCAAAGGGCCGCCGAAAGTGGCTGATATACGATATCACTCTCGCAGTGCACGTTGTCCAGTCCACCGTATGTGAACATTCCACCAGGAACACCCTCTGAGGCACCCTTGAAATAATTCGGTTAAATCGATTCAAATTCCGCCAGATCAGTCTGATTGCTATTGATCGAAATGATCTGAGGATCAACAAC